AAGGAACCACTTGCTCAGGCAGTTTCTCTCACTCCAGGGCAAAAAAGGGTATAACAAGGAGCTGTGCCTAGTTGGCTGAGTCACTCAAGTCATGGGAAGATGCACATTTCTGGCTGACACTTAACATCCACTGTTTTTTTTTCACTTTTGGCACTGTGGAAACAGGAAAATCTTGTTTAGTTGTTAGTTAAATGCAAAATCCAAATATTTACAAGTCTGCTTTTATGATTTGGCACTATGATTAGGCTATAAGACTTGAGGGATTATTTGTTTAAGATTAACTTCATACCTACTGTTACGAAAATCAGGCAAATAAAAAAATAACAAAATTAAGCAATGTACATTCTGCAAATGCACTCATTGGATTTTCTATTCAGTTTTGTCTTCTGGGGGAGGTTAGGAAAGAAAAGAGCTTATCAGAGGAACTGCAGATTGTTATAAGCTGTAGCCTGTTGGTTAGCTGGAGGAGAGAGATTGTAGGAAGGTGCCAAAAGAGCTTGTATAAAATCCGTAAAGTGACTCTTCTGAATATTTGCTCTCAGTAACAGATCAAGCCTTTGTGACCCTTGCTACTGATGATGTTTATTATCAAGGAGCTTTGGTTCTTGGACAGTCCTTGAGGAACCATAGGACATCTAGAAGATTGGCCGTACTGATTACACCAGAGGTTTCCAGTGGGATGAGGTAAGAATTCATGTCTTCCTGGAGGCTGATAATACAGAAAAAAATGAGCAGTGGCTTGAAGGATTTTAATAGGCTTTGTCGGATTTCACAGAAATATGGCAACAGATTCCCTCTTGGATAGCAGTATCTGGTTGGCACAGCTACCCGAGCTCTTGGTTCTGCAGTGGTGTTGGAAGCGTGCGAGCTCTTGATCTTTTTTTATGCTACGTGAAATTAGTGTAACAAAACTGGCTAAAGAAACATATTTTCCTTTTGTGCTGTGACTCTGAGTAAAGGAGTCAACTTTTCAAGAATTTTTAAAATACGTATTAGGTCAGTGCAGTTTTTCAGCTGTAATACTGGTGGAAATATATCCTGTCTGGATACTTCTTCTAAAGCCATTAATTTTTCGTGTCTATGCCTTATAGTATTTTTCTTTCTTTCACCAAGGATGAAACACCAGAAAGAGTGTTTTACTGAAATGTGCTTCTGAAAATCTGTTCCTGCTCTTCCCAAGTGTCCGAATCCTGACAAAGAAAATCTCATGATTCTGATAATTCATCATAAATCTAGATAATTGTTGCAGACTTTTATTTTTCTGTGTTTGTGTGGCAAATATTTTTTTTTCTTGTGCCCTGAATGAAAATGCCCCACTTTGATATCACCTGTAAAATTTGCATGGAAGGTATGGATGGAAGAAGGGTGTCTTGCTTAGAAGTCTCATTTGGGAGAATTTGGACGAGTAATGAAGTGCATATTGTATATTTAAAAATTGTCTTTTTTTAAATAAAACTTTGCAGTTTTATTTACTCAGGTGTAATGGCTGCAAATAACAGTTCTGACAGTGCAGGCAACGTCCTGTTCAGTGCACAGGAAACAGTGTGTTCCTCGTCTTTAGGGATAATTGTGCAAGATGAAAACAGTTTTAATTTCTGCTAGTGTTTCTCTAAGAGGCTAAATAGCTACAATAACGTTTAGTTTCTGCTCCATACAGCACCTGACACTTTTGAGACGTGCAGGCACCTGTAATGAGAGGTAATTATGTCCTGATAGCTATCACTGACCAGACTGTATACAAGACCTCTATACTTCTGGTTTCTCTTTCTAGCCAATCTGTCTAATCTCTGTTATTGGTACAGTAAATGTGTGCTGTGTGTCACTGTTTTCATGCCATGCGAGCTCCGATGAAGCTCCCTAAGCTCCCGTTTCTCTGCCCCGCTTGCTCGGGTAGGTCTCTCCTGCGCAGCGTTTTTGATGAAGTGATCGAGGTGGGAGCTCTTGACAGCGCTGACTCGCTCCATCTGGCTCTGGTGCAGAGGCCAGAGCTGGGTGTCACCTTCACTAAGCTTCACTGTTGGACTCTTACCCATTACAGCAAATGCGTCTTCATGGATGCCGACACGTTGGTGAGTAGAGCAGGGGCTGTGGATGTGTCTGTGTCTGTCTTTTAGAGCCACTCAGAGCATGGGATGCTGCCTTGTCTGACAACCTATTGTATGTGAACACATTGACATAGAGAGGCACATGAAGTGACCAGATTTGCTTGGGGTCATGAGGACACAAAAGCTCCAGCTGCATGTTTTGGCAGTGCTCAGAGTTTTGCTGTCTGCATGAAAACTAATCTAGTTTTGCAAGTAGCCTCAGGACTGTCCTCAAAAGATACTGCAAGCGTATTGTATGCAACTGGCTTCTGACAAATGCTTAAAGTAGATCTCTTATGGACTTGTGCCTTACTGGGGACTTACTCTGATAAGGAGGGCAGGCCAGATTTAAAAATGAAAAAAAAATCACACGCACACACACACACACACACACAAATATATATGTGTGTATATGTATAGAGATAGAGAAATACCAGGGGGACACAAGGTAAAAAAATAGCTGTAATTTTTGCAAGGAGAATCATGTCAGTTTTTCCCTGCACTTAAGTGGTTTGTTTTGGAACCATTTGTAATTGAGTAGAATTATATCTGATTTAGAAAGAAAATTAATAAACCTCGGGGGTAAGATGGCAAGTCTGTGATTTCCTGCTTTAAATTATAGCCAAAGGAGGAAGGCAAATACTTCCTGGGAAAAACAAAACACCAACAATGAAATAATGATCTTCCCAGTAAAATGATTTATTCTCTTACTCTTTGTGGTAGCTCCTTTGACAGCCATTATGGATGAGCCCTGACTTTTGGTGATTGCAGAACTGTCCACCAACTTGAAAAGTCATTTGGGCCTTTAATCTGATTGATAATTTCTATTACCTTGTAAAGCTTTTTTTTTTTTTTTTTCCTTTTTTAAAACGCAAACCTCTGAGCTTAATTTTCATTTGAAAACCAGTAAGAAGAGATGATTTATTTCTGCTACTTCTAGAGTCAGGCTATTGCTCACCCAAATTATTTGGATTCACAGCTTTTACTAAGCTCCGTTGCAGTTACTGAGAATAATGGGCTTTGTTGTAGGTCTGGAAAGTCGAGCTAAGAAACAAGGAGATAGTGTGTGTTTTCCTGGTAGAGTTGAAGATTTAAAGGAATCTGCTGATCAGATCTGAAGCTTACAAATGTAATTTCATTTGACTTGTACTTTTTGACAGAGAAATCATGGAAAACGGTAAATATCACTACCATGACTTATTTGAAATAGAGGTTTTGACCCTTAGCAGATTTTGCATTGCCACTGCTTTTTCTGCTTTACAGGCCATATACTTGTCTAAGCTATCAATGTATTTTATTAGTGCTGACTTAGCTACTCACATGTTCTAGAAAGACATTTGCTGTAATAATTTTTCCTCTTCCTGCTGCCTTCAAGGTTTTATGCAATGTTGATGAACTGTTTGATCGAGAGGAGTTTTCAGCAGCTCCTGATTCTGGCTGGCCGGACTGCTTCAACAGCGGTGTATTTGTGTTCCGACCTTCTTTAAAAACCTACAACCTTCTGCTCCAGTTTGCAGAAGAACATGGCAGCTTTGATGGTAAGGGGCAAGGCATAAGAGGTGATGGGCAGGAAACTAGATTCGTTCTTGGTCAGCCAGTTCTCCACAGCTTGCATGCTGTGTGGTGGAGTAGAAGGAGAAGGTTCTCTGGGTTTTAAGAAATTGTGTCCCACAAAAAAATTTAAGATGGAGGTTCTTCCCTCTCTTGAAGTATTTAACACCCATTGACTTGCTGTGAACTGTGTTTCCCAGAAAAGTGTGAAGAAACGTGACTTCTGCATCTTGGTCATTAAGTTTTCATTTTCCTGTCTCATTTAAGAAAGAGGGAGAGAAAAAGCCAGTCTTTGCTCTGGGAAAAGTCAACCCTGCTTCCTACTCCCTTGTTCTTATTCTCCAATAGCTTTCCCATTGCACTGAAACTGTGCTGGAATGTGCCAGCTTGTATGGCTGTATCATCCAGTTCAGGCTGTTCCATGAACACCCTATAATTGGGCATGAAATTCTCAGGTAAATTTCGATGTATGCAAACACCGAAATGTTGTTTTATGATTTTATTCTTCAGGGGGTGATCAAGGCTTGTTGAATAGTTTCTTCAGTAACTGGGCAACAACAGATATTGACAAACACTTACCTTTCGTCTATAACTTAAGCAGCAGTGCCGTATACACCTATGTTCCTGCTTTCAATCAGTGAGTAGAAACACCTGTGACTCTAATCTTCTTTGTAATCTTCTGCAGGTTACTATTTTTTTTCTTTTTTCTTTTTTTTTCATGAAAGAGAATAATAGCATATTCTGTTGCTTAGAAATTACAATACTGAAAAATGGCCTACTGTGTAAAAGTCATGCAATGGAAAGTTGAAATGCAATGGGAATCTGCATCTGGACAGACACAGAAACCCGGAGCTGAGTGCAAAAATGACAGTTGACTTAGAAATATTTGGGTTGCTACACTGTTTTATACACTGAAGCTTTCCTAAAATTTAAGGTTGTTTTTGCAATTAAATACTGATTAATTTATGAGCTTCAAACACTTCATTCAGAAGAAACTTCCCTGCTATGAGGCAGGTTGTTTTAAAGATTTAATGTATCATGAATTTACTCTTCCAGTTTCACAAAACACTCTTAGTGGAAGGTTAACAAAGTGATGTATTTATTAGTCATTTTAAATACTGGAATGGTGGTAACCAACTGATCTGGTGTTGTAAGTTTATTTATTGGTTTATGAACACAGCGTACAAAGAAACTAGAAATGGGGCTGCACGAACCTTTCATTTTGCCTCATGAACTCTTTTTTCTAGAAGTAGCAGTTAGAAGGAAATGACAATGTGGCCTTTTATTTTCTGTATTTTGTTTCTTCTAAATGTAATAGCTTAAACTAATGAGATATGAGTATGTTTTAATACATTCCCCTGCCGAATGTGTCGCTGTGTCAAAATGCCAAAATTCTCTCACAGTGAGGGTACACATGTTTCTTCATCAATGTGTGTGTAAGATATCTACTTGTTTGTTTAATTTTTACAGTTTTGGTAGAGATGCCAAAGTTGTTCACTTTTTGGGGTCAACAAAGCCCTGGAACTACAAATATAACCTTCAGACAAGGAAAGTTATGCAGGATGGCACCACTTCTGGATCTTTGCATCAGCTGTCATTTCTTGCCCTCTGGTGGAACATCTACAGTGCCAGTATACTGCCTTTGCTAGAAAAAACCCAAAAGGTGGAAGAGTCAGAGTCTGAGGAATGGAGGGTAAGTAATGAGCAGTTAGTGGGAATTTGATGAAATCACAGCAACAAGATTTCTGCAAGTTCTGAATTTGTTATGAATCACACAAGAAAACGTGATGTTTATTGATGACTAGTAACAGTAGTGACTGTAGTCTAGTATGTAGACAGTCTGTAGACAGTAGACTGTAGTTAGACAGTAGTCTAACAGTTTAGAAAGGGTTTTTAGTATCATTGAGATTTCAGGTATTTCCTTCATCCCTCCTTTTTAGGAGGAAGAGTTTGTATGGGAATTCACCCTTGTAAATTCTGCAAATTAAGATGCAGTTTGGTCAGAGAAGGTGATCATCGTGCTAGGAAATTAGCATTGTGTCTGTTATGTCTACTGTATCAGCTAATCTGATTCAGGCCATAAAACTGATCCTTGAAATATAGTGAGGTTTGTTTTCAGAACAGCGTTGTAACCTTTTATTTATTTTTTTTTATTATGGTCACAACAAGTAAGTTAGACTTACAGTATCCTAATATAATTACTTTTGCATCATCTAGCTACATCTTAAAGCATTTACTACTTTCTTTACACTTTTAGTATATCAGTTTTCAGTAAATAAGATGACAATTTTTGTGCAGTGATGAGATGTCCTTGCTTTTGTGTTTTTGCTAGCACACATTCAATGGAGTTGAAATTACACTAAAAAAGGTCAGTCTTCCTGTGGCCAATTCCCTGCAAATGCCTGCACTTCCAGAGCGGACAGACGAAACTTACCACACAGCATGTTCACCTGAGGAACTCGTTTTCAAAGAAGTAAGTATGTTGCTACCATTCAGAGGATGTACCTATGTAGTAACAAAATAAGTTGATGTACTAAATATATACACACACGTATATATGTATATATATGTATAAAAAGTTAATGATACTTCTGATCCAGGAGATTATATCTTTTTCAAATTAATTATAGGCTTTTCTTTTTTTTATTTTCTTTTTTTAAGCAGTAGAAATGGCCTAAGAAAAATACATTGTCTCTACGCGTGCATGCTTGATATATCTGAAGGTTGAAAAAGTTTGTCCTGAATTTTGCAAAGAGATTATTTATTGAAAGTTACTAGGTACTAAGAGTAACCTTTTGAATATGAATACTCTAGGAATTAATCTACTGAAAACTAGAAACCTTTATATTACCCACGTGTAGAATTCTTCTTTTACAGAAGTGTTGTCTCAGAAAATTGCTCCTCTCGTTTTTCCAGATTTGGACAACACAGGAGTATCATACTAAGAATTCACTTTATAGTTACTGCAGGGATCCTAGTTCTCTTATTACTCTTTGTATGTTTGGGTGTTTCTATAGCACTAACTCGCTTTATTTTATGCAAGAAGTAAATGGACCTTAGTAGCACGATATTTCTACAAACAGGAGCAATTAGATGTTGTATGTGCTATACCAAGGTAGAATTGGGAGAAGATAATGTTTATGGTTGGAACATCGTCTGCTCTTGTAGCTTGTGCCTTACTCTCTAATAAGGTCAAAAGATGAATAAAGTTTTTACACTGTTCGTTGTCTCAGCACTTCAGACTATAATTACTTCATAAAATAAAACTGTAGTGTTTCTTTTTTTTTTTTTCTTCCTAACATAAAATAGCTGAATAAAAATAGCAAAAATAAACTCCCAACCTTATATCTTAAGAATAATTTATTTTCAAATGGTATTTCATCTTGGTTACCTGATCCATCTGACATTATTGGGAATGCTCAAACAAATATGGACACATTTTCCAGATATGTGTTTGGGGCAAAAAATAATAATGTTAACTTAAAATAGTGTAGTTTAAATCTGAACTTCCTCAACTTCTTAAACCCATCTTACTATGCTATAATTATCTGAAAGTCCTATTAATTAGATGTGAGTAGCCTCATTCTCTTCTCTCTTAACTTCATTACAACAAGAAGTGGAATTTTATGGAATTGCCTTCTTTTTGGTGAAGGAGATTTCAGAATGCAGACTGCCTGTTCACTTATGTCTGGATAACTAGCAGAAGCAAATACTTTGAGCAAGAGTTTTCAGTCTTTCTACTTTGCCTTTCTTGGAAGGCATTGCTCAGTTTTCATCCTCTGCATAGGAAAAACTCATGAGCTATAGAGCAAGCTGGTATCCTAAAGTGAGATTATTTTCCCATTTAAGTTTGCTTTGTGAAAGGTAGGTATCTTGTGCACACTGGCTTTCCAGGCAGTATCTGTAGTCACTGGAGAATGACAGGCACTTGTGAACCTGTTTTAGGATGGGATGAGCTGCCTTCTGGAGGTACTTACCCTAGATGGTTATAGTAGGAGCTTGGACTCAATGCCATGTTGATGTCCATCCACTGCTTTACCCAACCCTGAGACTGAAATTGCTTTGTTTTATATGAAATCTCATGGTAAAAAAAGTTTGGAAAAACCCATTTCCCAATAAAACACCCATTTCTGTGTTTTAGCAACCTGTATGTGAAGTTGAACAGCGCAGTTCTGATGTTCCACCCTCCGAGCCTCGCAGATCTTCAGAACAACACATGCTTCATCCAACATTTCAGGAAACCTCAGAGCTGGTACATGTGGCATTGTGCTCTTGCTGATAATTGCATGCATGTCTTTGCTGCCAGCAACATTTTGGGAAAGATCAAGTATTTGTAATGAAATGTATCAATAATTTCTTGACTAATTTAGCTGTGCAGCTTCTTAACTGCTTCCAGTACTGGGGTATGGTCCCTTCTTGATTGTTAACTCTTTTTAGCTATATAAATGTATACTGCATCAATCTATACATGTATAAATGTCAAAGTATGTTCTTCCTGCACCAGCCTCCAAGTGATAAGTGCATGGTGTTAATTTTAGATGTCCAATAACATAATCAAAGCTTTTTCTCCTCCTTCTCCCCCCTTTTCCTCCCCTCCTCCTCCCCCCCTTTTTTTTTAATCACCTGGAATTATTTTTCCAAGCAAGTAGAACATGAATATGGTACATCAGGCATGAGACCTAACCAACGAAGCCTTGCTCTGTGGTCTTGCACTAAATCTGTCTGAGGGCAGAGTGACATGAGTGCTAGGACTGGCGCCTGTGGAATACTGACCATAGCCATTTTTCTCATGAGGCTTTTCTGTAGGTACATTGGGAAGCACTAAGGTGAAATACTTCAAGATTGAGGAGCAAAACTGCAGGTGAAACTGTAGTTCCATTGCAGTCAGGGGAGTATTGGTCCTAGCTGAAACTCTTCTCTGCTAAAGACGTGATGTTTCCCCTCCTGATGTTCATAACACCTAAGGATGACCATTAGGCATGCTAATGGTAACTGAAGGAATCATCATGGGATACTGAAGTGTTTACACACATACCCACATATATAGTGCATGACTAAAATATCAAGTATTATTGCTCCCTTTGTGCATCTATAGGGAGGAATTCTGAAGTTCTTCAGAGTGTTTCTTCGTGTGTCAGGTCAGGCACAGCCCGGGACCCAAGCAGGCCCCCATATGGTAGGATGCAGTTGCCTGGGTGTTGAAGGCATCAGGTGATCTGCCGGTATAGGTCTCAAGGGCCTTACTGCCCAGACCTGGCAGGTGCCATAGATACTCCAGGGCTTTTAGGCAGCTGAGGCAATTGATTTGTGCCCATTCAGCTCTATTCTGAAGAATAAAATACTCTGAAGAATTTTTGAGAGTTTCACTTGAAAGGCTGATTTACACATTGTTCTTAACATGAGATGAGTGATTTTATCTTGACCCTCTTGGAGTCAGACTTTCAGTAGACATTGTTACATTTCACTGGCTGTTTCACTAGACATTGTTACATTTCTTCCTTATTCCCATTGGGATGTCCCTGTTTTACCAGCCCTGTCCCCATAAAGGACAAGGTTGCCCTTTTATTTGGTTGAATAACTAATTACTATTTTGCATTTGTGAAACTGCACAGGCTTGATGTTGAACACGGATTCAGGATTTTGGGGTGTCATCAAAAACAAACTAGTTATCAGTCAGATAAATAGTGTTAGTCAATTTATATGGATAATGTGATTCATATGTGATAAGTAATGCTGATCTCATTGGAGATCAGTTACATGTTTCACCACAAACTGTAGATTCCTGTGTTCATGTGGAGACCTGTTGAAGACAGAATTTGCACACATACTGTCTTAGATGACTGCTGTCTACTTTGGAGTAGATATTCCATTCCAGATAGGCCCTATCTATGACAATTTTGTTGCGTCTGTTGCCAGGTGTGCCAAGCTGTGAGTTAGGATGAGTAAAATAAATGTTTGATATGTGTAAAGGTATTATCTTAAGTAGTAAATAGGGGAAAAATATCAAAATAAGAAAGAATGCTTGAATATTCTTCATTTGTTTGATTCAATTATTTATTTTAAATTAGGACTATAACAAGCAGCAGTGTAAGTTTAACTTCACAGCCCAGAAATGAAAACAACCAAATGACTGTTTTCTCCCTGTTTTTCCCACAGAGTGAGGTTACATATGCTGTTTCAGAGTTGTCTATTAACCTCAAACCAGAAGAACCAAGTGCAGAAGACGAACGGAGAAAATGGGAGGAAGGGCGAATGGACTATATGGGGAAAGATGCTTTTGAACATATCAAAAAAAAGTTGGATGCATTTTTATATTAAGACGAAATGTACTATAAACACCACCATCATGTCTCTTGTATAATTGCAGTCCTTGGATATTTGGCTTTCTTTGTAGTTTGTTTGACACTAAGGTTAGAAGTAGATATGAGTCATCATTTGTTTTGAGAGAAGGC